CATGGCATCGAGTGGGTGTACCACATCCCATACCATGGATCATGGCACCGAGTGGGTGTACCACATCCCATACCAGGGAGCAGCTGCGGGGAAGGTTGAACGGTGTAATGGACTGTTGAAAACCACCCTGAAGGCATTGGGTGGAGGGACCTTCAAGCACTGGGATCAGCACCTAGCAAAGCCTACATGGTTGGTCAACACTAGAGGCTCCGCCAATTGAGCCGGCCCTGCCCAATCAGAGTCCCTTCACACCGTGGATGGGGACAAAGTCCCAGTGATTCACATGAGAGGTATATTAGGTAAAACAGTTTGGATCAATCCTGCCTCGAGCAAAGGCAAACCCATTCATGGCATTGTTTTTGCTCAAGGATCAGGTAGCACGTGGTGGGTAATGCTGGAAGATGGAGAAACGTGGTGTATACCTCAAGGGAATCTCCTTTTTGGGTGAATTTCCCATAACATTTTGCCTGTATTTGTATGTAAATATTTGTAATATGTACACAGTTGGGGTAATGTATGTATGTATATGGTTGGAAAGTTTGAAACCAATATAGAGTGTTAGTATGGAAAAAATTCAGGGGTGGATGATGTCATAGGTTCAAAAAGAGACGTTGGAATTTTTTCCCCAATGTCCCCCCCCCCAATCTGTTTCTCCCGGGATGGGGCAGTCGGGGGGTGGGGACGGAGCGATGCGGGAGCGGGGAAAGGGGGAGGTTCCCTGGAAAGCATGGGCTGGGGCCACACCTGGAGAGTCCTTTGTCTGGGGGTTTTTGGTTTGTCCACCAACCAGACAGAGTGGGAGCCCGGATCCAGCTGCCTCCTTTTTTTTCCCTGAGGGGAAGCTTTTTTTCCCCACTGGACACCTCGTGGAGGACAACTGAGAGACAGAGACCGACCCATCTCAGAGGGGGGTGTTCTGCCCTTGGGACTGCGCCTGTGCCCAAAGGACTCTCCCATTGCTGGCTGCGAGGCCATCGGTGGCTGCGGGCACACGTGGCTGCCAGGACAGTTTGCCTTCAGCCTTCTCCCCCTTTCCCTTCCCCAGTTGCCAGGGGTTTCTTCCCCCCCACCTGGGGAATTGGGACGTTGTTTTGTT